CAGAAAAAAAAATCATTTTTTTTTTTTATCTTATTTCTCTTCCTTTCTCAAAAATCTCATCACCTGAGAGTTTCCTTTAAGGTTCCTGAGTTTTATCTATAGCATTAAATCTAGTAATACTTTCAAACTTCATTGTGTAAAGTCATGTATAGAAAAAACGAATGAAGAAGTCTTAATAATTATTGCTTCTCAATATATTCTATTTATAAATCATCACGAACCTCAAAGGATTAATGTCCTAAATTCATTTATAGTTAATTGTTACATCATCCCATAAGTAATTCTATGAAGTGTATGTAAGAAGGTACAAAATAATAAATCATGCCAATAAAATAGCAATATCGTCCTTTTCAAAAATAAATAAATTCTCGTTGAAATTTTATTAAGAAAAAAAAATAATAACTCTCTTGTTGAGTTATAATTTTTGTTATTTCTTTCTACTTTAAAAAAAACATGAAAATTGATTCATTATGATAATAGAATTATCAATCTCAAATCCTTGTTATTTCTATTTTACAAAATAGAAATATAAAAATAATATATACATAAAATCAAAACAATCGTATGTCCTTTTGTCTTAAATATCATTACATAAAAAAAAAAAGAGAGATCACATTACTTCTGAGATGACGTATCTCTTATCACATACACATTATCACTTATTTTAGAATACAGCTCTGTTCCTTACAAATGTAATGTAAAGTTCACCAATAAATTTAATATTCACTTCACTTTAATTATGCGCGATTGAATGGAAATTATTTTATTATCATTAAATTTCTAAAAAAAAAAAAAAAAGAAAATTTTTTTTAAAAAGTATAAATATATAATATGCTAACTTGAATAAATATGAATAAAATAATAATAACTTTGTGTGAGTAAAAGTAACGATTAAAAAAAAAAATGCAATTTGCAAAAAAAACAAAGAAAAGACGAAGAAATGATAAAACTCATGAGATTGTGTTTCGTGTTAAATGTACGTATATTAAAAAAAAAAACTAGATGAAGTTTAGAAAAAAAGAAAAAAAGTTTGAAATGGAAGAGCGTCGTTGATTTATTGCTCGGCCTATACTGTCGAAACTTAAAACAAAAAAAAAATGTCTAAAAATAAAAATAATAGCGCAAAAAAAAAAAAAAAGAAAAGAAAAATAGGAAAAAGATTTACACCTATACAACTATCGACTAATGTCATTGGCGAAAAAAAAAAAAAAAAAAAAAAAAAAAAGAAAAAAAGGAAAAAGATTTACCCCTATACAACTATCGGCTAATGTCATTGGCGAAAAAAAAAAAAAAAAAAAAAAAAAAAGAAAAAAAGGAAAAAGATTTACCCCTATACAACTATCGGCTAATGTCATTGGCGAAAAAAAAAAAAAAAAAAAAAAAAAAAGAAAAAAAGGAAAAAGATTTACCCCTATACAACTATCGGCTAATGTCATTGGCGAAAAAAAAAAAAAAAAAAAAAAAAAAAGAAAAAAAGGAAAAAGATTTACCCCTATACAACTATCGGCTAATGTCATTGGCGAAAAAAAAAAAAAAAAAAAAAAAAAAAGAAAAAAAGGAAAAAGATTTACCCCTATACAACTATCGGCTAATGTCATTGGCGAAAAAAAAAAAAAAAAAAAAAAAAAAAGAAAAAAAGGAAAAAGATTTACCCCTATACAACTATCGGCTAATGTCATTGGCGAAAAAAAAAAAAAAAAAAAAAAAAAAAGAAAAAAAGGAAAAAAATTTACACCTATACAACTATCGACTAATGTCATTGGCGAAAAAAAAAAAAAAAATAAAAAAAATAAAAAGCCTTAATGCGTTACAATTTCGAGTTTTTACGCGATAAAAGATATGACTCGAAGGATCTAGGAATGAGCGATCGCTTGTCTTCAAATAAAAATCGAAATTGAAATTATAATACAGGAATCATGAATTGTATACTGCTTCTTGGAGCAGATTTCTCGAAAGAAAATTTGTTGGATAATTTTTACAACGAAGATTATTGATACACTTAGGCC